TCCATTTGCTACCATGGGTGAATCTTACAGACAGAACATCATCAGCCAGAGTCCACAGTTCACATCAAGGTCCCTCCTGTACACTCCATAGTGTGGGTACGTAAATGGCACGTGTCACACAGAGTCGCTTTATTGCCCTGAAGCACAGTGGAATTTGAGCTTCTTCCAGCTGGCCTTCCTCCCTTGTGTTTTCTCATAACCTTGTGTACGTAGGTGAACATGTAGTGATTTCTCTGTGTGAGTTTCGTGTCCCAACACTGCTGACACTCGCCTGTGGACTCTTCCCCTGCCATTGGCCAGCCAGTGTCCTGTGCTTACACTTGCCTGTGCCTCTCCCTTCTGCATGTTCTGCCCCCTCAGCCTGATGCTTCCCACTCTGGTGTAGACGGCATATGTTCACAGCTTCACCTACCCATTTCTGTGGGACCTGTGGCTGTGTGGTACCTGAGCTCACCCAGACACTGCCCTGCTGAATTCTGACCCATCTTCTCTGTGCCTGTCCTTGTCTGTGGAGAACTTGGTTCCATCCCAGATGCCGCTCTTAGAGAAGTTGTATGAATAAGTGTGTGGGATGTGTGTGCATGTATATGCATGTATATGTGTGTGTATGTGTTGTGCATGTGTGTCTTTGGGTCATGTGGTTTGTATGTGGATAGATGAATGTGTGTTATGTATGTGCATGTGTTTGGGGGTCATGGTAATTTGTGTGTGTGTGTGTGTGTGTGTGTGTGTGTGTGTGTGTGTGTGTGCATGCATGTACATGTCTTTGGATCATGTGGGTTGTTTATGTGTATGTGTGAAAGTGTGTCTTGGGGTCATGGTGGTTGTATATGTGTAGATACATGCATATATGTATGTATATGTGTGCATGTGTGTCTTTGGGTCATGGCGGCTGTGTGTGTGGATGCATGTGTGTATACATGCACATGCAGTGGATCTTATGATGACAACCGGCCTGGAGTCATGATTGTTTTGAACAACCTGCACTTGTCTTCCTGGTTGCAGCCCCCTTTCTCTTACTGATCAATCCCTTCTCAGAGAGCCAGATTGTGACCAGGGAGCCTGATGACCTGAGTTTGACCCCAGACACTTGTGTAAAAAGCTGGATACAATGGTATGTGTTTATGTGGGGCTACAATGCTATGTGTTTGTAATCCCAGCTCTCTCTGGCAAGATGGAGGTGGTAGAGGACAAGAGAGACCCTGTCTCTATAGGAGGAAGACAAGAACAGACTCCTGAAAGCTGGATACCTGGCTCCACATGCATGCCTTGCTACATGCTCTCTCTCTCTCTCTCTCTCTCTCTCTCTCTCTCTC